TAGATTCCACTAGAAAATAAAAAAAGACAGAGCTTTGTGAAGCATGCCTGAAGGGGACACTGGGACAATGGCCCTTCCCCTTCCTCCATTTCTTTCTGCCCATCACCAAGTGAGAAGCTTCCTTGCTGTATGTGTCCGCCATTAGAGACTGTGCTGCCCCAGCCCCAGAGACAATGGGCTAAATGTCTATGGGCTGAAATGGAAGAACCCACGAGTCCCAATAAGCTTTTGTACCTTTTAGTTGATTGTTTAGGTTGACTTGTCATAGTAGTAGGAACTGACATGGTCACTAAAAAGTTGTTGCCTTTAAAGGAATTGTTAATGTCTGTTATTTACACTGTTCCAGAAACATCAGAAAAAGAAAAAAAACAATAATAACAACAACAACAAAAAAAAGCCAAACCACAAGAAACAACCCTCCCCCCAAAGAAAAAGAAAACTTCCCTCATATGTCTTATTGATTTAGATGTTCATGGTCCACACCAGAGAAAAAAGAGCCCTGAGAAAAGAAAATTATACAGGTTAGTTTCATTCAAAAACAAAGATGTGAGGATCTCAGTGAATACTGAGCAAATCAAATAAGTGATTCTTTGAAGAGCTGCATCTTTGTAGAGCGAGGCAACTACAGCCAACAAAAGAAAACCTGTTGATGTTGGCTGGAAGTGGAGACCAAGCAGCGGTGAATCTGCTGAGTGGTGGTGAGAGCGTGTGGGGACTGCCACAGATGAGGCGTGAAGATGAATGCGGTTGATCATTCAGGTTTGGGTTTGAGGCCTGTTCCACAGGAGGGAATTCATGCTGGGCCATGGCTGGAGGTTATAGGCCTTACTACCGTTATCTTCCTAGACGGGCATGTTGTTGACTGCCTTCTAAATGTCTATGCTTATACACACAGATTGGTGCTGTTCTCAAGTTAGGCCAGAAAGCTTCTCCCTCAATGGGTAGCAGTCAGCGCAGAGAGGTCAAAGTATAGGGAGGAAATGGATATTGAGTATTCAGCCCTGAATGGGACATCTATCGTAGAAGCAGATTTTCTCCATCTATCTCTGTCCCAATGGAGCGGTTTTCCTCTGCCCACTGGGTTCCACAGCTGCTTAAAAAATAACCACTTAGAGACTTAATATATAGTTATAACTGTTTGGCCATTGGCTTAGGCTTTTTACTGGCTAGCTCTCTGTTAATTATTAATCCATTTTTGTTAACTTATGTATCTCCACATGGCCTTTGCTTACTGGTGATTTCCGGGGATCCTGCCTCTCTGACAGATACATGGCGACTGTCCTTTCTCTTCCTTTCCCTGCCTGTTTGTTCGTAATTCCTGTATAGCTAAATTCTGCCTGTCCATTGACCAAAGCAGCTTTATTCACCAACCAATAAGAGAAACATGTTCACAGCATACAGAAGGGCATCACCTAGGTAAGCCACAGCCTCATGGAAATACAAAGATTAATAGTAATGGATTGCTAATTAAGAGAGAGCTAGCCGGGCAGTAGTGGCGTACGCCTTTAATCCCAGCACTCGGGAGGCAGAGGCAGGCGGATCTCTGTGAGTTCGAGGCCGGGCTGGACCAACAGGCTCCAAAACAATATAGAGAAACCCTGTCTCGTACAAACAGAGAGAGAGAGAGAGAGAGAGAGAGAGAGAGAGAGAGAGAGAGAGAGAGAGAGAGTTAGCCAGTAAGAAGCTTAAACTATTGGCTAAATAATTGTAACTAATATTAAGTCTCAGAATGGTTATTTCACGAAGCATCTGTGAGACCCAGTGGATGGAGAGAAAACCTGTCCACTGGGCCTAAGATAAGGAGAACATCTCCCTCTACAATGTGTGTCAACACATCCCACCCAAGACTCAGTGAACATCTAGGAAGAGAGGGCAGAGAAGATGGAGGAGTGGAAGAATGTGGAGGAGTGCTGGGAAACGCTGTTTCCTGGACATCACATGACTGCTGCATTCGGGAATTCACTGCAACTGGTTGTCTGCTTAAGACCTGAACAAGAGCAGCCAACATTCTAGCAGGCAGCACTAACTGGACAGAATGGAAACAAAAAAAGAAGAAGAGGACATGGAACAGAAAGAAGGACGTTATGAAAGAATAAATAAAATACGCTTTATTAAAAATAGGGAGGTATATTGAGAGATTACAAACTCTTTCCCTGAGAGACAACACTGAAGGAAGTGCTTGGCAAAGCAATCCAATACTAATAAAAAATTGTGCCCATAGCCCTCCAATGATCCCAGAGGGCAAATTCTAAGAGATTTTGCCTAGTCAGTTATGAGACATCTTACTCCGTCTTCATCTAATTGTCTTGGGTATTCTGAAGACAAAGGTATAGGGCTAGGGACAGGCTAGGGATAGAACTCAGTGATGTAGTATTCGCCTAGCATGTGCAAGTTCCAAGGTTCTTTCTCTAGTACCACCAAACCAAAACATAAAAACACACGTTGTAGCCAGTGATTCACTCAGTGCTGGTGTTAAGCCTGATGACCTGAGTTAGGTCCCCAGAAACCTCATAGCTGAAGGAGAGAGCTGACTCACAGCTGTCCTCTGACCTGCACCTCCTTCCCCATTCCCATGTTCCCACCTTTTCCTCTCCATGTCTCCTCTTACTTCGTGCACAAGAACACACATACAAACCCACACCAACTTTCAATCCAGGGCAGAAATGGAGTTGAGGTTTCTCAAGATTCCAAGAGGCACACACTGATGGCTCAGAGCCTCAGGTGAGGCAGGAGAGCTCTCATTCCAATGGAAAAGGGTAGCAGGGCCCCAAGCTGTCAACAGACACAGCCACACTTCAGTCATTCTCATGATGTGGAGTAACTAGAGGAGTCATACAAACAAGGTTCTAATCATAGCATAAGTTATTAATTTAAACCAGACGAAATGCTCTTGGGAATTCTTCATTCCGTGAAGGAGGTTTTATAAACGCCCATGATATTTCACCTAATTCTCCCATGTTTACTTTCATTGAGACGTTGCAATATTTTATAATTTAGACTTTTTCACCTTTGGAAACAAACCAGACTCGGATGAAAAATGTTTTGTCAGGATTTTAGAAGAATTTAGTCAGCTGGGTAACTTGTGAAATCTGGATGGGAATGGATGATGTGAGGAAGTCATTTTGATGGAGGCTAGCGTGTGGCCTCCTGACCCCCCTCTTAGTCCCAGTGAGGACACAGCCTTCTGAATCCCATTCTCAGCTTGAGTGCATTGGAGCCATCAGCCTGGCTCTTCAACACTTGGCATGCAAACACTTGGTTGAAAGATGCTCTCACGAGAACCCAGCTAGTTAAAGTTGGACATTTAGTTAGATCCTCTATGCATGTGGCAAGGACACTGCAGCTGACACAGTTAACTGTCTAGTGCCTGTGACTGGGCTCTTAAAGCCACACTCAGGGAGTCAGGGAGTCAGCAATCACCAATGGTTATTCTTGCCCACACGTTCTCTTGAATTTCTCCAGTTCTCTGCTGTTTGCTGGTTGGGATGAAGCTGAGGACCCATCCCAACTCTTTTAGTGGAAGAGTTGGAGTTACTATCGGGGCACAGAGAATGAAATTTTTAGTTTCATGATACAGGGAACTCCTAGGCCAGTCAGTCTGAAATAATTTTGATTCTTGAAATTCTATGTGTTCTACTTGTTTTTAGACCAGGTTGATCTGGAAATCCCTTTACATGTACTGTGAAAGATTCTGAGTAATATGTAGTGAGACTTATCTTCTGTAATTTTCTAAATTAATATTTTTCTCTTTTTGGGCATGGTGCTGCACACCTGTAATCTCAGCTGCTGGAGTGGGCAAGATAGGAGGACAACAGGTTCCTGGATAGTCTGGGTTGCATAACAGAACCCTACTTCAAAAACAAGAGAACAAACTATCTGTTTTCATGTATGCCCCCTCACGGCCCTGAATGTACAAATCTGTCCCTTCCTTCTAATTGCTTCCTTTTAAACACACACACACACACACACACACACACACACACACACACACACACACACACACGCACAGACACACTCATGCATGCATCCACTCACACATGTTGATGCTAGAACTCTGGGTCTTGTCTATGCTAATCATGTTTACCACTGAGTGTATGCCTGCATTCTTTTTCAATTCTGTTTTTATTTTAGGAGTTTCTTTAGAAGTATTTTTAATTTTTTTTGTGTATGAGTGTTTTGCCTGCATGAATGTGCGCCTTGTGTATACAGTGCCTGCAGAAGTCAGAAGAGAGCGTCAGATCCCTGGGGCTGGAGGTCCAGATGACTGTGAGCTTCCATGTGGGTTCTGGGAATCAAACCTGGGTCTTCTGCAAGAGCAACAAGTGCTCTTGACTATTGAGCCATCTCTCAACTCTCAGTCCTGTCTTTAAATCTAAGACCACACAGCAGAGGCAACAGTGACAGCTGTGAATGGTAATCCTCCTGTCTGTGGGGCACTATCCTGACCATGTGTGTCTCTTACTTTGTAATGCTTACCGTAAGGCTCCAAGGACAGAATGGCTACCTGCCATTTTGAAGAATGTAGGCGCAGACGCCCAGACAGGACTCAGGCAGCCTCAGTTTTTTCTTGGGCCTGTACACATCACAGGCTCCCTCTGGTCTCTCTAGAGGAAGCAGAGATGAGTTTTCTAAGGAGAGTTTGGAACTAACATTCCTTCCTTATTGCACTCATGACTAACTGACTCTGGAATAGTCTAAACTGAGGGCTGATACTGTCAGAAATGAGTATTTTATACCCGTTTGTTCCTATGTACATGAAGACATCTCATGAGGGCTGTTCATTCTTTTCTTCTCTGTAGTTCCTGCAGGACTCATGAGCTGGCCTTTTATTCTATGGGAGTCTGAAACAACGATGAAGATTGAATGTTCCCTTTGCTGTGTCTTCAATCATGGCATCTGTCGTAGTTACTTTTCTCTTGCTGTCATGAAACACCATGACCATGGCAGCTTCTAAGAGTTTATTTGAGGCCTGTCCCCTGCCGGGTCCCTCAGTCCCTGCTATGAGCTCCTCGCAGTTCAGCAAGGGCCCATCCTACAGGCTCTCGTTCGAGGTCAGGAACTGGTTTTTGTTCAAATACGACCCCCAGAAGGAATCTGAACTCCGCAGCTGGATTGAGGGACTCACAGGCCTCCCCATAGGCCTGGACTTCCAGAAGGGTCTGAAAGATGGGGTCGTCCTATGCACACTCATGAACAAGCTGCAGCCGGGCTCTGTCCCCAAGATCAACGGCTCTATGCAGAACTGGCATCAGCTAGAAAACCTCTCCAACTTCAAGGCCATGGTCAGCTATGGCATGAACCCCGTGGACCTGTTTGAGGCCAATGACCTATTTGAGAGTGGGAATATGACACAGGTGCAGGTGTCTCTGCTTGCGCTGGTGAGAAAGGCCAAGACCAAGGGGCTGCAGAGTGGTGTGGACATCAGAGTCAAATACTCAGAAAAACAAGAAAGGAATTTTGATGATGCCACCATGAAGGCCAGCCAGTGTGTCACTGGGCTGCAGATGGGCACCAACAAATGTGCCAGGCAATCTGGCATGACGGCTTACGGTACCAGACGGCATCTCTATGACCCCAAGAACCACATCCTGCCTCCCATGGGCCACTGTACCATCAGCCTTCATATGGGTACCAACAAGTGTGCCAGCCAGGTGGACATGAAAGCTCCAAGGACCCGAAGGCACATCTACGACACCAAGCTGGGTACTGACAAGTGCGACAACTTTTCCATGTCCCTGCAGATGGGCTACACGCAGGGCACCGACCAGAGTGGTCAGGTCTTCGGGCTGGGGTGGCAGATATATGACCCCAAGTATTGCCCACAGGGTCCAGCAGTCGACGGAGCGCCTGGCGGGGGTGATGGCCATGGTGAAGGCCCTGAGTACCTGCCCTACTGCCAGGAGGAGGCCGGCTACTGAACACCCAAGGGTGCTGGCTCCCCACATCAGCATCATTGTGTAGGTTTGGGGTTTTGTTTCTTCTTCTGTGTTTTCATTGTGTTGTTTTGTTTAATTGGGCCTCACTTTGTAGCCGTCTCTGGCCTGGAACTCACTGCAGTCAACCTGCCTCAGCCTCCTGAGGACAAGCCTTTGCTAGCTATGCTCCCGCCTCACCCATCAGGCCTTGCTTCCTTCCCAGGACTGACCCACGGGGAACACTGGGGTCCTTGATGGGGTAGCCAGGCTGTGGATTTCCTAGCAGGCTGTGGGAGAGGCTGTCCCCAAAGAGTTTCCCATTTCTTCATCTCTTCAGTTTGTGGTTTGTGAACCCATGGAGATTGCAGGCAGTTTCAATGAAAGAAAACTTGGGGGGCAAAGGTATGGGGGGTGTACTTGATTTTCCAAGACCCTCAGACCTTACCCTCCTGTGCCCAGCGGGGAAACTGAGGCCTGGGACCTAGGACCGCAAAACCCACACCTGCCGCCCTCCCTCATTCCTTCGGGTTCCCACCTCCCACCTCCTCCTGAGCAGGCCTGATTAGCTGCCTTGAACCCGCCCCGCCTCCAAAAGTGCTGCAAGTTACCCACAGGCACCCCTGTGCTACCAGATAATGTGAAGTACCTTGTGTGAACCAAAACCTAGTAAAAACCTCTGTTTCTAAGACTAAAAAAAGTTTATTTGGTGCCTGTGGTTTCAGAGTGTATACTCATGATTTTCATGGCTGGGAGCAGGGCAGCAGGCAGGCATGGAGGGTGTGAGCTGAAAGCTTACATCTGATCCATAGGCAGGAGGCAGAGAGCTGAGCTAACTGGGAGTGATGTGACCTCCAAGGACACACACCCTCCAAGAAGACCACACCTCTTTTTTTTTGAGATTTATTTATTTATTACAAACACAACACCCTGCCTCCATGTACATCTGCACACCAGAAGAGGGCACCAGATCTCATTACAGATGGTTGTGAGCCACCATGTGGTTGCTGTGAATTGAACTCATGACCTCTGGAAGAGCAGTCAGTACTCTTAACCTCTGAGCCATCTCTCCAGCCCCCAAGGCCACACCTCTTAATCCTTCCCAAACAGTTCCACCAACTGGGGACCAAGCATTCAAATATGTGAGCCCATGGAGGCATTCTCATTGAAATCACCACAGTGGCTTTGTTTCTTTGCACATCTTTATCCTGCTCAGGGCTTTTACACTATGTGCATATAGCAAAAGTCCACTGGAGTCTTTAAACAATTATTTATGTGTATGTTTTGTTTCTATATCTGGATATGTGCACATGTACGTTGGTGCTCATCAAGGCCAGAAGAGTTCATCAGGTCTTTTGGAACTAGAGTTACAGGCAGTCCTGTGTTGCCAGATGTGGATGCTGGGACTTGAACTCTGGTATTCTGGAAGAGCTGTCAGTGCTCCTAATCATCTTTCCAGCCCTCCAAAAATCTACTAAAGATTCTTTTAAAAAAATTTGTTATTAACGATGTATAAAGTGTTCTGCTTGCATGAATGCCTACATGCCAGTAGAGGGCACCAGATCTCATTATAGATGGCTGTGAGCCACCATGTGGTTGCTGGGAATTGAACTCAGGACCTCTGGAAGAGCAACCAGTGCTCTTAACCTCTGAGTCATCTTTCTAGCCCCTTAGCGAAGATTCTTTTTTTGTTTGTTTGTTTGTTTTTCAAGACATAGTTCTCTGTGTTGAACAGCTCTGGCTGTTTTGGAATGCTCTCTGTATATCAGGCTGCCCTCGAACTCACAGAGATCTGCCTGCCTCTGCCTCCCAAGTGCTGGATTAAAGGCATGTGCCACCACTGCCAAGCCTATTGAAGATTCTTAATTCCATCCTCCCAAATGGGAAAAAAAACTTCCTTGGTTGACTTGGGACCAGGAACAAAAGACACAGTTTGGCTTCATTAAAAAATTGTTTAAGTTTGTTCTTTATTAGTCATCAATGAAGGGAAATGACAGCAGGGAGAGCACAGGCCTCAGCTAGCCCAGATGCTGAGGTAATGTTGATGCCTCCCCAGGGACAGGAGAGCAGTGGCGCCTCAGGGAAGTCTAGGGCAGAAGGATCCATTCTGGGCCCTGGAGTGAGAAGCATGAGGTGATGTCTAGGAGACAGTGCCTTCCAGATCCTTTGCAGAGGGCTGGCTTGTGAGGTCCTCAGTTACAACTCACCAGGAGCCAGGTTCTCTAACAGTCTTGGTCCTTGTGGGCCTGCTTTGGGCTGAGCCTGTCATCTGGTTCTCCAAATTCCACGGCGCTACTCCTGCCTGGTCGGCCTCCACCCATCCGTTCAGGCTGCGTCTCCCTGCTCACCACCTCCCCACTTCACCCTGACTCTCAGTGTCCTCCTCGCCTCTCTTCTGACTGCTTCTGGGACCTGTCTGCTCTGGCGACTCTGCCAAGCGAGGCCCTTCTCCCTGCCTGGTCTCTCGCCAGCTCCTCACCTTCAGTCTCTCTGTCCTCCCCTCCTCTCCCTCCCTCCTCACCCTCACAGCCTGTCCTGCTCTCTTCCTCTCCTCCTACCTGGGCTGTCCTCACAGCACTCCCTCATAGTGCAGGCTCTCCCAAGCCCTTCTCAGCTTACTGTGAGCTGCCTGCCTCCACAACTCCTCAGGCCGCCATTAACAAAAATAAAGTCTGCACAACCAAGAGAGGGTTTCCTTATGGCACTTGCATGCATATATGTATTTATACTTTGTTTTTACTGTTCCGCTGCTTTCAGTCAAGGCCAGTCAGTCACAGAGCATCGTGTGTATCCGGCTCACACAGTGGGTCAGGACTCACCCCATTGCGTTTACATAAGCACGTCCAGGCTCTGATTCAAAGGGCAAGGTGTGCTGCGTATGGATGCTGGCTTGAGACTCGTGCCCTCTTCCACAGTTTGGTGTTGCCATGGTTACTGCCACGGTTATCTTTTTTTTTTTTTTGTGCTTGTCCCTTCTTTGACTTCTGGGTTTTCGGAGTCTTCATGTTAGAGTCCATCCTACAGTTTAGAAGTAATTTTTCTTTTTTTTTTCCAGAAGTGATGACTGTGGTTGAAAATGATTTTCCTGGTTCATCAACATCTTTCTAGTTACTGTTTTTGTTTAAAGCCATGGTAACATAATTGAATTACTTTTGGGAGTAGCCATTTCACAGAACTTTAAAAAGCACTGAGCCAAATCTGTTTGACAGAGCACTTCACAATGCTGGGTTAAATCTTCTTTGACAAATGTTTTAATTGCTGAAAGCTGAGCCTTGGAGAGGCTTTGGCTGGAGTCCTGCTGTGGAGCTTGGGAACAGGAGGTGTTGGCAGTCAGACTTTGTCTGGGGCTCCCCCAGGTCCCCATCTTTCTGTGCTGCTGTCTTCATGCCTGTGGGGATGTGGTAGGTAGGACTCACTGCTGCTTCAGCCTTGGGCCTGTGGTAGGATGGGTGAAGGGAAGTCTGCTAAGGGACAGGGACCCCAGAGGGCTTCTCGATTCTTTGAAGGTTTGAAATACTGGTATTCTTCAAAACTCACCTTGACAGGCGATTGTCATTGTGGCAGCGCTTAGAGAGAGAGGAGGCATTTAGGAGGTGGCTGGACCATGACGACTGACTTAGTGAGGGATGCTAGTGCTGTGAGGAAGCACCATGACCAAAGGCAAGTTAGGGAGAAAAGGGTTCATTTGGCTTACCCTTTTACATTATAGTCCATCTCTGAAAGGAGTCAGGACAGAAACCTGAATGGCAGGAATCTGAAGGCAGGAGCTGATGCAGGGCCCATGGAGGGGTGCAGCTTGCTTTTCATGAATTTCTCAGTTTGCTTTCTTACAGAAGCAGGACCACCAGCCCAAGGAGGCATTTTTTTATTTGAGGTTCCCTCCTTTCAGATGACTTTAGCGTGTGTTAAGATGACAGGAAACTAGCCAGTACAACTGACCCCTGGTCAGCTTGGTACACACATACATCACTTTTCAACTGGAACCTCTCCTTTCTCATTTATTCCCAAGATGGCATGTTAATATTAAAATCATGTTTTAAAACATAGTAATTTAAAAAGCTCCCTAGCCTTTACAAAGCCAAACACAGTAGGAGTTCAACCTCTTTAAAAATCCAGAATGTCTTTTAAAAGTTCAAAGTCTGTCAGCTGTGACTTCTTTAAAATCCAAGTTAAGTTAAATGCTTTCTTACTTCAAGAGGGAAGAACCAGGGCACAGTCATAATCAGATCAAAGCAAAACCAACTCCAACTCCTAATAACTCAGGATCCAGTGTCTGGGATCTACTTGCAGTCTTCTGGGCTCCTCCAAAGGGCCCGGGTCACCTCTCTGGCTCCGCCCTCTGCAACACACGCACACCTTGTCTTCTAGGCCCAGGCTGGCTCCACTCCACCGCTGCTGCTGCTCTTGATGGCACTGGCATCTCCAAATGTTGGGGTCTGCTGCTGCAACTGGGCTGCACCTTCCCCAATAGCGCCTCCGGGGCTCTCTTCATGGTGCAAGCCTCAGCTTCTTCATGGCCCTTCAGTCCTGGGGCTGCCACGGCTACTCTGGCTGCGTCTTCACCCATGGCTTCTCTGGTCTCTCCCAGTTCCTGGCCTTGGCTGTTCCCCACAACTCCTTCATGCCTTCAAAACCAAACCAGCACCACCTGGGAGACTCCTGCACAGTAAGGATGCTGTGGCTGTGGTAGTACCTTCTCCTCTCTCCCTCCCTCCTCCTCTCCCCCTCTCCCGTTTCCTCTCTTTTTATCCCTTCACTTCCCCTATGGGATGAGTCAGTAAAAATGTTCTCTCTAAACAGCAATGGTTTGGCCTTGGGTTTCTTAGGCTTCAGAATTGCTAAGAAATAAGTTCCTGCTCTTTAGAAGTATTTAGTCTCAGATACTTGTTACAGTACTGTACCAAGGTATGTTCCCAGGATGTCATTTGCCTTACACATTTGCTCAGTCTCCCATTCTCATGTATATGGTATAGAACTTGTTCATAGATTCAGAGTTTTTTGACTTT